AAGGATTATTCTTATCTCACTAAAACTACCTTCCTTTACAAACGTCTACTCCAAATGATGCTTCTGTTTCCTCCTCCTCCTCCTCCTCCAATCAAAATTGTTCCTTGCTAAACATCTGATCAAGGGTGACATTGGATGGAACAAACTATAATGATTGGATGTGCAACATCAAGATGGAGCTTTGTTTTGAGGACAAGAAGTGTGTCCTTAAGAAAGAGTTGAATGAGATTGATGAAGAGAAGGCCACTCCTGAAGAACTGGTCGCCTATAAGAAGCCCTACAATGATGCAACAAAAGTTTGTTGCATCATGGTGGCCACCATGACTCCTGAATCATAGAGATTCCATATGGATTACTGGTCATACGAGATAAACAAGGACCTTATGAAAAAGTACCATAAGCGAGCTCATCAAGAAAAGTATGAGGTGGTAAAGTCTCTCATAGTCAGAAAGATGAAAGAGGGAGAATCTATTAGCGGCCACGTGCAAAGAATGCAATGATACGTGGATCGCCTTGTAAAGCTTAATGAGCATTTTGATGAGGATTTGGATTTTGACATAGTCTTGAACTCCTTACCAAGTTGTTATGATCAGTTCATCTTGACCGATCATTTGAACAACAATGAGACCACTTTGTCTCAATTGCACAACCTCTTTGAATAGTTGAAGCAGGGATGAAAGGAAAGAGTGTTGCCTCCACTCCTGCTAGTGCTCCCGTTCTGGCCATTGGTCAATGGAAAGGAAATAAGAGAAAATGTCCCTCCAACACAGAACCGGAAAGGAAAGTTTCAATCTGGGCCGTCAAGCAATGGACCCAAAGGTAAATCTAGTTCTGATGCTCCCCATGTCTCTATTCCCAAATAAGCCACTTGCTTGTACTGCAACGACAAAGGGCATTGGAAACGAAGTTGCCCAAAGTATCTGCAAGACATTAAAGATGGCAAGGTGAAGCCTACTACAGCACGTATATACACTATCTTATCTAATAACTCATCATATTCTCAGTGGGTAGATTTCACATTTGTTCTGATTTGCATGGGCTAAGAATAAGTGAGGACGTGAAGCATGGTACAAAAAACTTGATCATGGGGAATAGGCGATCTTCACCTATCACCAATATTAGATTTTATAGTCTAGTGCTTAGTGATGGTGTTAGTATAGATTTATTGAATTGTTGCTACTCATCATAAATGACATGAAACGTTATTTATTTTCATGCATTTTTTAGACAATGTTTTAGATATTGTTTTAATGATGAGAATGGTTCTATTTCTGCTTATAAAAATGGTGTTTTTTTTTATTTTGAAGCTTTACCTTGTGATGGTGTGAATGAAACTGCGATGTGTGTAGACAATTTAGGCAATAGTGTATTTTAAATTGATTCGTCTAATGGTATAGGCAAAGCATGCTTATGGCATTGTTGTCTTGGACACGTTAACAAGAAATGCATCACCCAACTCCAAAAGGATGGAGTGTTGTTATATTTTGACCTAAGATCAGATGACGCATGCGAATCTTCTCTATTGGGTAAGATGACAAAATCACCTTTCACTTGATCTTGTGAAAGAGGCGAAGGTTTGTTGGATCTCATACATGCAGATGTGTGTGAGCCCTTCAGATCCACCACAAGGGATGAAAACTGATTCTATGTGACTTTTACTGATGATTATAGCAGATATGGTTATATCTACTTAATCAAGCATAAGTCAGAAACCTTTGAAAAGTTCAAAGAGTTTAAACAAGAAATCAAGAATCAATTGGGCAGGAAGATAAAGATGCTTAGATCTGATAGAAGCGGTGAGTATCTTAGTATCGAGTTCCATGACTACCTCATGGAATGTGGAATGGTTTCACAACTGACACCTCCTAGGACACCATAACTTAATGATGAGGATGAGAGACGCAATCGAACCTTGTTGGACATTGGTCGTTCCATGATGAGTCGAGCTTCACTTCCAATTACATTTTGGGGTATGCCTTAGAGACTGTCGCCCATATTCTTAATCTTTTCCCAACTAAGAAGGTTGCCAAAGCACCTCACGAGATGTGGACAGCGAAGTTTCCTTCGTTAGCACATATCAAGGTTTGGGTTTGTGAAGCTTTCGTTAGACAAAAGACTCACAATAAGCTTGAACCTCGAAGTGAGAGATGTATTTTCATCGGCTACCCACATAAGTCCTTTTGATATTTGTTCTACAGACCTAGTGAGAACGTGGTCTTTGTAGCACGAAGAGGAGTCTTTCGAGAGAAAGAGAGAGCTTATATGCAAAGAGGACAGTGGGAGTACAATTGATATTTAAGAGATTCAAGAATCAAACGATGAAGGAACCTATGAAGACACCATGGTTCAATAAGAGGAAGAAATTCCAGTTGAACCAGTTGACGAATCATTACCTCTTAGGCATTCCAGTAGACTTAGAATGTCACCTGAGTTCTATGGTTTCCATATTACTACAGATGGTGATACGTCTATTAGTGATAGTACATTGGTAAATTTGGATGAACCTTCTAACTACAAAGAAGCAATGACAGGACCTGGTGCAACTAAATGCAAAGAGGTAATGAACAGTGAGATCAAGTCCAGGTATGACAACCTGGTTTGGAATTTGGTTGATAATGTACCAGGTCGTAAGACAGTTGGGTGCAACTGGATCTTCAAGAAGAAGTCTGAAATGGATGGAAAGGTACACACTTTCAAGGCTCGACTGGTTGTGAAGGGCTTTACTCAAACCCTATGGGTTGACTA